TAAGTGTAGATTTTTATTATGTCAAGACTATAATCAAAAAGGTGCACAAAAGTAAGAAAATAAATTAGTAATTTATTGAGTGAGAGAAGCTAGGGTATGTTATAAGAATACCATTTTTATTGATATAGTAGAACTATATTTAAGAGCTTTAGAATAGTTAATCAATAAGTAATTATTCTAGTCAGCAGAAAAATACCTGGATTACTTATTTTGATAACTATCTTTCTTGGATTTCTAAGGTAAAAATAAAAAGTTTGCTTGTCTTTCCTGCTAGGTGTAAATTTTTAGATGAAATTTTTATTATAACAAAATTGTGATTAGAAAGTCATAAATAATTAAGAAAACAAATTTATGATTTTAATGATGACTACATATTTTGAAAACTATCATTCTTAAGCTTCTAAAGTAAAAAAGAAAAAGTCTATGATGAAATTAATAAGTATTCATTTTAGTGGCAGAAAGGGACTAGAATACGAATATTGATGACTATCTTTCTTGAATTTTTAGGTGAAAATAATTGGTCTGCTTACCCTTCTTGCTATTACTTAGAAGAAAATAGGCAACAAGTGATAGAAAATGTGATAAAAGCACAAGAAAAGCAAAAGAAGTGACATGACTCAAAAATTAAATGACCAACTGAATTTAAAATTGAAGACAAAGTTCTCTTATATAATGCTATTAAAGAGAAAATTTGGACTGAAAAATTGGAAGAAAAATGAAAAGGACCATTCTATATTTATAATATACTACTCAATCGAGCGTATAAATTGAGATTTACTAAAGAACAAATTCTTAAGACACTAATCAATACAAGTTTACTGAAAATCTATCACAATCAGCAGAATTGGAATTCTGTGATCTATGTTTAAGTAAACAAACTAGAAAATATAAAGGATGCTGATTAGACCTTAAATTTCAATTTTCCTAAAAATGAAAATTTCCAACAAATGAGTCACTTCGTAAAAAAATATCAACAAGATATTGAAAATATTGAAAAGTCTAATAACGTGCTAAAGAAAATTATATTAAGTCACTTTTGATAATTATTGATCTTTGAGAAAAGACCAAGTCAGACAAATTGATAGATTTAATGGATGAAATCTACCAAAAAGAAGAATTTATGAAAATTAAAATTCCTAAAGAACTCTTATGAAAGAAAAAAATGCATAAGGAATATGTTTAAGAACTAGGAATTACCCTTATAGTTTTGTTTAAGAGAATTAAAAGAAGAAAGAAAAATTTTTTGACAGAGCTTAAATCAAAGAAGAGTGAAATGAGACAGGTAAAATTTTAGAAAGATTTAATTGGTAGAATATAAAGTCAATTTTATTGTTATGTAAATCTTTTATAAAGATCATTTTATTCATTTTATTACCATTGATTAATTATGCAAATCCTTAAATGTCAATTTTATTGCTTTTTATAATTATGTAGATCATAGATGTCCATTTAGTTGCCTGCAGATCTGGCAATTTTATTGATACAGCAACTTTATTTCCTTTGATATATTTAATTTAATTTATTTTATTATTTATTCAACATGTATAAATATCTCTGTATTTCTTTGAATCTTAGTACTGACGAAATGTTAATATTTTAGGTACTGAATTTATACATTATATTAATAAAGGAGTATAATTAACTAAGTATAAAACTTATCCTTCGTAAACCCTTTAAAACTATTATAAATTATCTGTGACCCTTTGCATTTGTGTAATTCCTTTTATTAGTAAACTTATTATATGATATTATATTGATTCACTATATTAACTTAAAGTTTCTGAAGTGTAATCTCTGAAATATCTTTAAGTTATCTTGTATTTATTTTGTGTTTATCTCATATGTTTTATATTAAGAATAATTTTTTGACATTATTGTGAATTTTCACCTGTAATTCTTTAAGTAATATCTTAGTTTTATTTACCCTTTTAAGATTTTATTTAAAATTATGAAACTATCGTAACAACATTAAAATCTTTAAATGCTCTATCATCAGAAGAGTAATGATATATAACAAGAATATCAAGCAATGATGGATAATGAAGTAGATGTATAGTGAATTTCTGAACATCTTAAGAAAAATTAATCATGTTACCCTGATATACATATTGGTCACTACTCAGATAATATACAGAGATGATGAAAAATATCTGAGCAATGAGTATCTCTTCTATTTAAGTAAGATCTTATAGTTTCTTAGGTATATTACCTAGATCCATATTATTTCTTGATAAAAACATTTTAATTCAGGATTTAATTTAAGTCTTTTTAATTCCTTAATTTCTGAGTGACAGTAACAATATTCATCACATACAAATTTGATTGATAGAAAACATTTATTATATATAATACAAAGATTATTAGTGAACTAATCAATTTTTTAGAGTGAAATTTGTAAAGTAAGTTCAGGTCAGAATCAGAAAGATGATAGTTATCAATAATATAATGCGATGCAAATTGTTTTACTAATCATTTAGAATATGGAGCAGAGTATCATATTAGCAATTTTTGCTTTTATTGCAATTAATAAAATATCTTTCACGATTCTTACTTAAACGGGTTTCATTGTTTAGCATTTTTATTTGACCTTTTAACACGTTTTCTTTCTCTATAGCATTTTTGACAAAGGTTGCGTTGTTCAGAATTCTCATTTTTTTTTACATTTTCAAAGGGTATCATAAAGAGAACATTTATCCATTTCAAAGATATTATATATAATGAGTAGATACAAAATTTAACGAAGGAAAGTACATAAAAAAATAATATAACTTAAATGACAATCAGCTATATTATTATATAATTCTATTGATTAATATAATATACAAATAACACTTTATTTTTATTTAGCTTAGAACTGTATTTGTTTAAGTTTAATATATGTAACTAGAATTTGCAGTTTGCAGGAGACTTCATCTCCCATTTAGCATTAAATAATTGATTATGTAACTAATTCAATTAAACTTTAAATTTCATTTATGAAGAATAAAAATATAAAATCAAATTTTGAATACATTTAATTATGTTGATAAAAAAGGTTTTTTATAAGTTGTCTGAAGTTGGAATTCAAATAACAAAAAAGGGTGTCTGAAATTGGAATTCCAATTTCAGTTAACTGAACTTGGAATCTCAATTTCAGACACCCGAAGATCAGTCACAACAGATCCATTGTGTTAGGTGTTTGAAGAACATCTGAAAATAAAAATAAAATAATTAAATAGGGTATTATATTGTATATATGCAAAAAAAAAAATTGCGGGTATTAAAAATTAAAAATTAAAATATTAATATTTTAAATTAAATTAAATTTAAAAAAAAATCAAAATGTAGAATTAAAAAATTAATAATATTAAAAAATCAATAAAAAAATCAAATTTAAAATCAAATTAGGAAATATTTAAATAATTAAACCCGCGTTTATAAAAAAAATTCGCGATTTAGCCCGTCCTAAGAAAGATTTACTTAACTTTTTTTAATACGATTCTTTGTGTAGTTGGTTATTAGTCAAGTCTGATAAAGGTTAAAAGTATGAAAAGGTGGAATTTATTATTTTAAATTCGGTAGTCTTTTCTCTAAAATAAATATAACTAAAATAATAAAAATAATAAATATAACGAATATAACGAATATAATAAAAAATAACGAATAAATTTAAGATTATATATAATAAAACAAATAAAAAGCGAAAACTATTATAATTGTTTTACATACTATACATAATTGATATACAGTTCCCGCCAAAAGTAAATTGCGATTGGGACATCGTTTCTTGTGTAGACCACAGTATCTCCATTATCCCAATTTGACCCGTTGTATATATAAACATAAACAATAAAAAAACAAATCGAAAAAGCTTTTTATTACTTACTGAACTCACAATGCCATCAACATCCCTTAAGACGAATCGCAAAGTTGTAAAGTTCCTTTAGGACAGGAACGTGCGTAGTGCAAGGGAAATGTTATCCGAACCGGAGTTCCCTTGCGCTCTTGTGAAAGATATGTTGCTTTTATGTGAAATATGGCAACATTCCTGAAATTCATCGACTTGGCCGACCACGAAAATTGACGTCTCAAAAATGCCGCCACTTCGGAATGATCACTACAGTAGGGAAATTGAAGGCCATACTTGAAGAAAAGGATTCGAACCTGGAGGTTTGTATACAACTATACGACAAGAACTTCGCCATCTTGGTTATGTAGCAGTTCTTCCCTGAAAAGTCCCTCTCTTGACCCGGAAAGCAAAAGTCAATCGTTTGTCTTGGGCGCGTGGCCACTGGCATTATGATTGGGAAAAAATGGTTTTTTCTGACGAGACTACGATCCAAATATTTTGTAACACTACTCTAGCATGGTCTAAAGATGGAATCCATTCTACCCATGGTTAAACATCCTTTCAAAATGCATGTTTGGGTCGCGATTAATGTCAAGGCAGGATCTACAAAAAGTTTAAAACGTCAAAATATTTCTGGTAAGGATTTAGATTTTAACTTTCAATATAAATCGTCGCTAATTAACTTGAATGATTAATTAAAAGGTAAAGCAAACTAGATAGCAATCCGTTTGATGATGATAATGTTAATAATAAGCTTTTTTTTTAACTTAATAATTTTAATGATTGATATATTTAAATGCTTTTTTTTATATTTTATCAATATGTAATTCAGGTAATAATTCTAAAAAAAAGAAATCATATAAATCATATGAGAAAGTTCGCAATATATCTAATAATAATAGTAAGTAGAAATTGAAATTATATTTTTAATTAAAGAATATTTTAATTTTCACGATTTTCACGGTGCAGCTGTGAAACTAATGTATTCACTTTTGTATCCCCTGGCCCGTGATAAAAAAAAAGTTAATTCTACTATTGTTCACCATATTTTACTATTCAAAGTATATAAATTTTAATTTTTTAAGAATCATTTCTTTATAAAATTGTTATTTCTTTATTTTATACCCTTTTATTTAATTCAAGGTCTTTTCAGTGGCTAAAAAAGTTGAAAATGCCTCTGCAACGCGTTAATAAAGACACAAAAGCACTTCAAACCTTTTCTACTAGTGCAAATGGTCTTTAAAGACAATTATCTAAAACTATTTGTCCGCGTTGCAGATGAACCTAAAATGTTAACTAAACAAAAAAAATATATATGAAAATTGAAGAACAAAAAGAAATATGCTTCATTTTTATTCTTTTTCTTAGGTTCGCGTCTTGGATTAGATCACCTTCTGGTATGGTGAGTAAATTGGATGTTGGGATGCAATGTTTATTTGGAAACGTTAATTCACTACGTTTCTTTTTAGGTTCGAGCGTCCGCCTTTCGGAATTGCATGTAACTTGATGTTTATTTTTCATTAAGGGTGTTACTAGCGTTCCTTCATTTTTTTTATTATTATTTTAGGTCTCGACTTGAATGTCGATTCTTATTTTCACTATGGTAAGTTTATTGGGATTTTGATTAACCCATCGTTTCGTAGTATTATGCATAAATTAATAAATTTTTAAAAAATTATTATTAAATAAAAATTAATAAATAAATAAATTCTTTTTTTTTTGTAAATAAAAATATTCTTTTAACAATAAAATAAATATTAGATTCTATTTAATTTTTATAAATAAAGATTCTTTTATGCGAAATGTGACATGGTAGAAGTCACCCAGCCCTAATTATTATCAAAATTTTTTTTATTTTTTATGAACTTCTTTTCAGGTTCGACCGTAGCAATCGAAGATTTGTATTTCTCTTTAAATCTTCTCAATTATAATATATATTTAATCGAAAGCTATATAATAAATATTATAACTAGGCGTCATAAATGGATATTGTATTGGTACGGATTGCTATTGTAACAAATGAATGTAATTCCGGCCGAAATCTCCATAATTCCGCATAAAAATCGCTTTCGAGATTTACAATTAGTCCTTTTATGATCATTTGCCAGGTTGTCAGGGCGCAATGCTGCCAAGATGCCAGGTTGACAAGGTGCCAGTACGACAAAATGTTCTAGACGCCAGGCTGGCCCAATTTTTTTTTTTTTTTTATATACAAGCCGGAAATCCTTAATCAGCTCAATAACCACGTTCGCCCTTGTGATATTTCTTTGCATACATTCCTTCGAAATCCTTCCTATAACACCTTCGCGATATTTTCGCTTTTGCCGTATTACCTTTTTAATTTCGCATATGTAACTTTTATTATTTTTATTCTTAATTTCCGATTTAATTAGGATTTTTATTGTTTATGTAATTATTTTGTATTTGCGCTGTTTTAATTAAATAGATTTTGGTACTTGGCATTTACATAGTTTAAAATATTGATCAAGCGAAAGTGTAGAGCGTCAATGTTGAGGCAATTCTGATTAATTTGATAATATTAAATAAATCATTATTACTTCATTTTTATTCAATCAATACCTTCTGCTTACAATACAAATTGTTTATAAACGAAAGAACTGAATACAACACAATAAATAAGTGGAGTCGCAGCACATCAACCTAATTTGATTATAGAAAATAAAAATTTTACTAATACATTGAAAAATTCTGTAAAGTATATACAGTAAATAAGACCTATAAAATAAAACTGTTTTATCCTATTGAATTTATTTCTTTAGTAAAATTATAAAGTTATACTTGATTGAGTGATCCTATGAACGTTTGCTCTCAAAATCTTGATAAAATTGAATATTATCGCGGTTTTCGAATTAGTGATCAGGTGATTGTCGATCAATTACGAAAACCCGCTTCTTTTTTATAATTCTTCAATTCCACGCACGCTTTTTTGAAGAATTGTTTGTTTAATTATATGTACATGATGATATATTAATATCAACTACCTTTGAACGTTAGATATCTGAAGAGTTTTAATTAGCGTGATCCACATTTAATAAAGATGACCAAGTAATTAAAGTAAATAAAGTAAATATTAGTTTGCTTTGTTTCTAATGACCTTATATTCAGATCATATTCTATTGCAATATAATCTGAATATTCCAAGAAAATTATATAAATAAACAATAATTGATTATATCATTTCGATATTCAAATCAATATAATCATTTAAACAAAATACCTTGTTTTTTATTATACATTTTCCATAGATAAATTTATGGATAAAGTTTTCAAAATCAAAGAACTTAATGCCCTGCTCGTAAAAATTGTTTTTGATGAGGATTTCCATCAAATTTCATTGATTTAATCAAAATCCGATCTTTTTAATACTCCATCTACTACTTCGTTAAAAATATTGTAATTAAAGGTCTTTTTGAAGGATCAGGATATGGTAACTAACCATGACACCTTTTTTATTCTTATATGACACAGGACACGACATCCTTATGAACATCCGCGACAAAATCTTTAATGCAGGATAGACACTGCGATCTTTTATGTCATCTGAAATTCGCTTTTTTTCTCGCTAAAAATTACTAAAATCAGAAATTCCAAATTTATAATAAATGAGACTTTTTTCTACGGTGATAAAATTTTCATAACATTAGTATGACAATATACTTACTCCATGCGCATCAAGCTAGCTTACCCTTTTGAGCTTGAGTGTTGTGTCAGTGTCATTGGCAATGTATTTGTGCTTTGTTATAACACGTTATTTTATTTGAAAATAAAAATCCTTTCTAACTTAATCTGAATCCCTAAAGTCTGTTGCTAGTAAGAAATTAATATCAGTATGCGTTAAAAAAGAAATTACAAACCACATTTGAATAATAACCGACCAACAAGTTGGATAACGTTTGAATTACAAACCAGGCCGAATAAATTTTGTCCTTAGAAATCTATTTCAGAGGATTTGATTCATTAAAATTTCAAGAATAAACGTAATTTTCTTCCTTCAATCTGAATTTAGAAATAAACAAAGTATAAATTTTTAAATTTTATAAAATATAAAATAATTTAAATATAAGAAGCATCTCAATTACATGTATTTTGAACAGTTCTAGTATATCGGTCCTGCGGAATCGCGCATCGATTGGTCACATAGTTCCGCAAGAAAACAAAATCAGGCGAGAAATATTTCGTATGAAAATTAAATTCGGAATGGCAAACATACCAATAGGCCATTATCGCACAGAGTTAAGTATTATGCAAATAAAAGTAATAATTCCTCCAGTTGCTTCTACTGCTGAAAACTATAAAAAATTGTGAAGTATTTTTTTTGTAAAGTTTCGCGACAAACTCTTGTGTAACATTGAAGGGTCAGATATTTCACCTTTTTAAAAAGATATAATACAATTTAATAGGATATAGTAGCAATTTTATTTTAGATCAACGTCGAAATAGATCACATGACGTTAAATATACACAATAAATTCAAATCACATGACTGATGCACAAACACGTGATTTCAATCGATCCCATAATCCGACAAAATTCTCATTTTTCTATAAATTTAATTCAATTTCAATAGATGATCGGTATTATTTTTTTGTTATTTATTTTTTTGCGATTTTTTACTGTCTATGCTTATTATTGCGCACATGTTGATTGTGTAGTTTCATAAAGTCATGGGTGCACACTTGGCTTATGAGTCCAAAATAAGTGATGGTTTAATTTCGTTAACTAATAATTGATGGAATGGAATAATTCTTATCAATTGTTAGCGGGAGTCTTTTAATAATTGTTGGAATGGAATAATTCCTATCAGTTGTTGGAGTGTCTCCCTTTCTGATAATTGTTGGAATGGAATATGTCCTATCAATTGTTGGAGCCTAATTTTTTAATTAATAGCGGGTTGGGTGTGATATTAGTGGGAAGCAAAAATCATAAACAATTGTCGAAACTATAATAGTTTCGTATATTTACTTTGCCAGAAAAAAATAAAAAAAAATGTTATTATTAAGAAAGAGAAGGTACATAATTAATCCAAAAAAAAATTTTTTTCGTTAAGTCATGTAAAATATACTATCAATAAAGTATAACTTGAATAACTGTAAGATTTTCTCGGGTTTTTTATACGAGCTGCAATGATCGAATGATTATATTTTCTATGTTTTGAAGTTATTATTTTAAAATGGCTTTTTTTTTGCTTTAGGTCAAATAACTTTCCTATATCCATAATTAATTGTCCTCGTATGATTAATTGTTAATTAATAAAATAAAAATGTATCGTTATATTATGAATAAAATTTCCATGATATTAAAAGAATAAGTATTCAAATGCTTCTCACATTTCCAATTGTGATTAGCTTATTTATGAATTAAAATTGAACAAGGATAGTAAAGTTGGTCGGTTCATGTTACGGAAAGTGTTTCGTACAAAACCTGGAAATTTTATAACAACATTTGGCACAGAAATCTCATTTAATCATTCATGAGTTAATTGTTATATTATTAATTATTGATTTGGTCATGTAACCTATTATTTAAAGTAGAACGTTATCGAATTATAAACAATTTCAATTTTTTAGTGCACACCTAAAAAGCTAATCAATACAAATAAACGAACAATAAAATGAAAATTGGCGGGAAATAAACAAGGATTGCACGATATGCAATAAAAAATATTGCAACATCAAAATATTAATCAAGAAAAAATTTTAATTTTTTTTTTTTATATGAATTAATTTTATAATGTCGCTTTTTATAATTATAAATTATTATATTTATTAGCATATAACCATTTTTCATTTTCCAGCGTAGGAATGGAACGTAATGTCCCAGAAAAAAGATTTCCATTTACGCAAACACAATAAATATATTTTTTGGCAAAACTACTAATATATATATTAACTAACGTAGAAATATCGTTTTTTATTTAGTGTATTAACCGTGAGTCGACAGATCGTGGCTCTCAAATGAAATTATCAAACATAACTTTTATTTATTTAATAAATTTTAAATTCGGCAAAAGTATGAATTATCTAGCACTTTAGTGTTTGCAGTATTACGGAAATTGTCTCAAGAGTTTTAACTAGTATTTATTTAAATTCGTCTAAGAATGCGAAGCAAATCCCTTAAACTTCGGATTCCATCGAAACTTTAATAGTCGAAACTATAAAGTTGTAAAACGTAGAAACTATTTTATAAAAATGTCGATATTTCAAAATTGCTAAAATAAATTTGTCAGAATCTGAGGATTCAGACATCACTTAATTTTCTGATATTATGGTGATTAATGGTGTCGACTCTCTTTTTTTTTTTAAAAAAAAAATCTTCGACTTTTTCCTAACACTAAATTATTAGTACATACAATTGTTTAAGCCGTAAAATAAAAAATTGAAATTCAGTATTTTCCTCATTTTAATGATATAAAATGTTGAAATCCACATGATTTCCAGTTATAGTATTTTTTTTTTAAAAAAAAAAATGAATCAAAATGATATTTATGTTAAATTTGTCAAGTTACTGACATAACGATGCATTTAAGGAAAATTACAAATCATATGCATGTAACATCATCTTTCTGAAATTATGCTGAAACCGAATCTTTAATCATTCCTAATAATGATTTCTTTTGAAGATTCCTTCCAGAAATATCCACCTATTAATTTCAATTCACACACTGTTCAGAAAGGAAGTTTAATTAAATAATATTATGATGAGACTTTCAAATCTACGATATTGTTCCTAAAATCAATATTAGTAATTATCGAAATATAATCTTAATATATGGAAATAGATGTGGAAATAGACTACTTAAAACACCACCGCGCTAATGATATACAACCATAATTCACCTGAAAGTAGAAATGAGGCTTTGATATTAAGCTAAAATTAAATAATTCGATTTATTCACAAGTATTATTTTTTTTTTTACAAAAAATCTTCGGTTCTTTTAAAATTTATTAAAATCACTTTGATGAGAAATCCAAATTTTGGATCAATAGTCTTGTTCTTTAAAATTTGAAATACTTCATAACACTCTATTGAGAAATTCTCGTCCGTATCTCTTATCGTCTTTTCATATTTACTCACGTAATAATGATTAAAATTATAATTTCATACTTTTCATTTCTAAACAAAGGTCACTAAAAAATGTAGGACCACAAAGAGAGTTAAAATATAAGGAAGGCCCTATCCGCATTCTTTACATGATTGTATCTTTGAAATTATCCTCATTATTAAAAGAAAATATAAAACTATACTTGGTTTTACCATATACGAACATGAGAAGAAGTTTCCATATTGTAGGATTATGTCCTCCAAGAATTTCACCAGATCCCTTCACTTTAACGAATGTAATTGTACAAAGTATATCATCACATAATTCATGAAACTTCTTTGGAGTAAATCCATCTCGGCTTCCTCTTAATAAATTCATATGGTAAATATAATTCCCTCGTATAAGCAAATCGGCTTTAAATATCTATCTTATCAATCCATCTTGAAATCATGTAAACAATATTTAAATTAACAATAGTTGTGTCAATAATTCCATCAACCTTTCTACATCTCGGAAGTAAAATGTCATCACTTGGCTCACTATCGGGATCAAAATACGAATTTAATAATTCTTCATAAAGTTGATAATTCAAAAGTCTTTTAAATGGACGAACATTTTTAATGAATTCATCAGAAGTTAAACTAAAAATTTTACAAATGGTAAAAATTGTTGTAATGAATTTCCATTATTTTGAAATCATTATCTGACCAAAGTTTTAGGATCTTAAATGAGTGTGGGATTTTTTTTAAGACCCCATTTTAATAAGCGTTCCAAAATCTCAACTCTTTCATTTGTAAATCGTCTCATTTGATAATGCCTTTTCAGAAAGTGAGGTAAAGTCAAGTGATCCCAATGTTTTTCGGGTGATGTTGCCGTAAGTTCTATACAAAATTGTTGAAGTTCATATAAATAATTAGATTGAAGACTTTTGAATAAACTCGTTCAAAATTTTATCTATCCATTTGGATTTGTTTTTGATTAAATATGTTTGTAAATGTTCAACTAGTTCTTGAAGAAGCTCATTAGCCACAATCAAACATCAAAATTTCTGAGGTTTCATACTCATCTAATAAAATGATGCCGTCATAGATATATTTATATAATAAATATCTAAAAATTTATAATATAAAAAATCAATAAATTTATTCGTAACTTACTTCAAAATAATTTGATAAAATGTTTGGCAACTTGGATGTGATTTAAGATGCCGAAATTATTCTTTCTATTGGTAGCCAAAGTTCGTCGAAAAATGGTGAACGGTAACAATATAATCATATGTGTATGAAATATTTTACGCTTGGGTCTTCTCCTGTTTCGATTGTAATAATATTTCAATATAATCTTGACTTAATTTGGAAAAATTTTGCCGACATTTTTATTCAATAAATTTTGAAAGAAAGTCGTTTTTTGGAAGGGAAATTTTGTAAATCCTCCCCTCCTCTTATATATACAGTAGATAAAATATCATCATTCTTTAAACCAATCAGAATTTACAATGCTTAATTTAGTCCAGAATTTATTTTAATCAGGAAACATGTTATTGTTGTATTCAGTTCTTTCGTTTATGTATATATGAACAATTTGTATGGTAAGCAGAAGGTATTGATTGAATAAAAATGAAGTACAGAGGGTGGACAAAAGTATCCGCACACTTTTTCACTCAATATAAAATATAAAATTTTTTTGCATTAACAATAAA